CATAAAGGAAAGTGATTGTTGATGTAGAGTGTGCCTAAGGAGAGTCACCTGGAAAGAAAACATTCTCTCAGTCTTTCACAGAGAGCAAATCAGTCAAGCAATGACTGTGACTCATCCACATGGGTGACACTGACAAAGGATCTACAAACTGTGGTATAGGGTTTCAGGGTAAATCCTGAGGGGAGCTGACTGACCTTGTTAGATACAGAAGTTACATTTCTTGTTATATAGGTCTTGCTTTATCTTGGTCTGAGCCATCCAGCAGAAAAGTATACAAACAAGGTATAAAAAGTAAAGCCATATTAATAGGCTGAGTTGTAAAAAGCTCGAGTCAACAACGTCTGACACTGCCAGTCCTATGGATACCCTACTACTATTATGGACTACTGGACTATTTTGGATTATTTTTCTGAATTCATGCACCTGCAGTATTTAAATGGCAATGGAAAACCTACCTCTGATGAAACTAAACAAAAAAAGGGGATACAAATGAAAAAAAGTTGGATTTTCTTTAGAATAAGCAAAATTAGTTTTATTTAAAGGGAATTTTTTTTTCATAATTTTATTGAGAAACAAATAGCAATGAGACAGTTTCAAACCAAATTGGTAGGACAGTTTCAATAATTAACACATTGCACACATTCTTCCTAGTGGTTAATTGTTTAAAGGGAATTTATTACTTAAAAAAATGATTCTGAGTCACCCACCACCAAGAAGGAAAAAAAAAAAAAGAATGAGATCTGTGTGTTCTTAGGAATGGTTTATTCCAGTCCCCTGAGATTTTTGTTTTCCTATTTATGCCTCTAGAATAACTGTTTCCCCTGTATATTTCCTATCTCCACCTTTTCTAGCCCATATTTGTAGAAAGTATTGCTTGGATAAATGACAACTTTTTGGAAGTTTGTTTCTTTTTCTTTTTTCTTTTCTTTTTTTTTTTTTTTGGTGTTGGTGTAGATTGAAATGTACTTTTGCACTGAGCTACCACCCCAGTGCTTTGAAAATTTTATTTTGATATGAGGTCTAAGCATCTTAGTTGCTTTTCTCTTGTTGCCGAGAAAAAATACCTGATGTCCAAAATCAAGGAAGAGGGCCAAGGAGATGGCTCAGTAGAATAAGTGCTTCCCTGGCAAGCACAAGGGCCTGAGTTTAATCCCTGGTTCCACCAAAAACAAAAAAAACACAACAACAACAAAAAACCTCAGCAAAATCAAGGAAGAGAAAGCTTATGTAGTTCACAGTTTGTGGAGGTTTCACTTCATATTTAGCTGGCTCCAAGGCAGGATGGCATGGCAGAGGGGCAACAGATCATGTTGAGCAGTAAGAGCAGCAAGAATAAGCCTCTTTTTCTGTTTTATATTGTGTGCAAGTTACCTTCCCTAAGGCAAGTTTAGCAGTCAGACCTCCAATCCCAGCATTTGACAGTGAACTAAACACATACTCTAGATTTAGCCACCTTGGAAAAGCCTGCCTGCCCATGGCTGCATAAAGCTGTGGGGAGACATCCAGACATAAGTCATAACATTCTGCCTCTGGCCTCCCAAAGATTCATGTACATCTTTTATAGAAAAAGCATTTTAGTCCATCCCTGTCTTGCCATAATCCTAATAGTTTTAATTTTTTTTTTTTTTTTTTTAATTTGTGTGTGTGGCCAGCTCAGCCCACCAGGGGGCGGCGGGGCTGACTGGCATGTGGTGCTGGGGGATTGAACCGCGGTCCCTGTGCTTTCCTAAGCTTGTTCAAAGTAGGTGGTTTAGACCACTGAGCCATCTCACCAGCCCAATCCTAATAGTTTTAGGTGATTGATTTATTGACTTATTTAAAACTGGAGATGGAGTCAGGACCTTGCACTTGCCAGCCAGGTGCTTATGCTGCTAAGCTATCTCCCTAAGCCCAGTTTTAGCATTGCTGAGTCCCCGGTCTCCTCTGATACTTAAGGAAATCTTTTAATGTGAACTCCTATACAAATTAAAGTTAAACTCTTTCAGCATTCAGTGGCACAAAACGTTTTCATTCTAAAAATTACAAACAGGGATACTGAGGAATGGGACCAAAGCAAGTCCACAGTCCAGTAGGACAAACATTAAGCCCTGTAGTTCTATTGGCAGCATCTAAGACAATCCATGGTAAATTATGATCCCGAAAGGGCTTGGATGGCTCTGTCCCTATGGCATTTCTGGATTGAAGTAGCTCCTTATAGATTCTCTGTTGTGCCCACTCTGCTCCTTCTTGGCAGTTTTTCTCAGATGATGCATGTTTCTGGCTTCTTCAATCTTCTGGGGTCTCTACTGCATCTTTCGCTTCACTCTCATAGCTTTACACACTGCCTTCTCAAAGGCACACTGTCTGGTTCTTGGGCCTTCTGAAATTGAGGTGGAAGCCTTCTTAACCCCACAACTATTATGCACTTAAAACCACATATTCTAAGATCTGATTCCAGCTAGAGCTGTAGCTAGGCTTCCATCACTCTTGGCTATAGGACTTGAGTGCCTGAATTGCTGAGCACTGAATCCAATTCTGAGAAACAAATTCTCTATGCTGCCACCATTCTGGAGGATGTTGCTCTATGGCATTCTTCTCAAAGCAAAGTCTTTAATTTTTGCAGTTTTGAGGCTGTAAAGAATGGAGTCCTATTGTTTCTTATGATGCCTGTAGGCCATCTTTTCTATTGTCTTTGCAGCAGTCAAGATCTCTGTTCTGTCTTTGCAGTCCACAGCTTTACTGAAGCTTCCCTTCTGGCAAAACTCACAATATTTTAAATCATTCTCTTGTGCTCTTTCTTCTTAATTCTCAACATAAATCTGGCTAAAAGTTCCCAACAATAGCCATGCCACTGCCTACACTTGATCTTAGCCAAAAGACTGAGACGTGATGCTACTACTTAAACGTTTGGCTGTCTTGAAATTTCTTCTACAAGGTTAGTTAGACCTTAATTTTAGTCTCAGATGAAGTCTCTGTACAGAAATGCAGACAAACTTTTTGGCAAGCCCTTGTCTAGAGCCCAACAGCCAGTGTAGTTCTTCCCGGCAACCTCCTAAACTTGGTCTTTACTGTAAGATTTCTATCAGCCTCTTGTCTCCTGAACTCTGACCAGAATCTTCCCATGCAGAACAATCTAAGGCTTTCTAGATATATTTTTTCAGGCAATATCTCCAAATCTTTTCCACAAGCCATTCCCAAAGGCTCTTAAACCACATGGTCAGGTATAGTCACAGTAGTGACTTCACCTCTCAGGTACTAAATTCTCTGTTGGTTACTTTTCTCTTGTTGCTGAGACAAAATGCCCAACACCCAGCGCTAAGGAGGAAAGGTTTATTCAGCTCACAGTTTGTGGAGCTTTCAGTTCATAGTCAGCTGCCTCCAAGGCAGGGTAGCATGGCAGAGGAGCAATAGTTCATGGTGGCAGAAGACAGCAAGAGCAAACAAATGGAAGCAAGCCTCTTTTCCACCTTTAGATATTATGTGAGGCTACCCAAACTAGGGCAGGTATAGCACTTACTCCCCCAGTGAACCAGTCACAAGTTCTCGATTTATATTTATTTATTTAAATATGTTTTTTAAAGAGAGTATAAAGTAATGGAAAGAGAAAAAATTACAAGTGATACAGAATTCCACTAACAAGATAATATGAATTCGACAGTATTGGTTGAATTGCATAGTGCTGTCTTCAAGTTAGTTGTTCAGAGGGCCAACCAAATAGCTCAGTGGATTAAAGCAAGGGACCAGGGGTTCAATCCCCCAGCCTGCCGTGCCAGCCCTGCCCCCAGGGCACACTGAAACATCGATTGAGACTGGGTGTGGTGGTGTGCGCCTCTAATCCCAGCTCTTGGGAGGCTGAAAATAGGTGGATCAGTACAAGTCCGATCTAGTAGTGAGACCCTGAACACCCTGTAGATCCCCGTTGTTCAGATTACCAGATACCTGCATGCAAAACTGGAAAAAAGAAAGAAAAAAGGGACTGGGGAGATGGCTCAGTGGAATAAGCGCTTCCCCGGCAAGTGCAAGGGCCTGACTTCAATCCCCGGTTCTAAAAAAAAAGGAAAAATTATAAGACATTAAGAGAGAAAAAGGGGGAAAAATGAAAAAAAGACCAAAAGAATTAAGTATTAACTGCTCTTTTCCATAGACCAGCAAAAATCCACAGTACAATTATCCAAACCCTCTTGCTTACATACATACATATGTGTCTCTTTCCCCCACTTCTTCTGTCCTCATCTAAGTAATTCTTTTCTTTTTTTTTTTTTTTGGCGCCGAATGACCTCAAGGCAGGTTTGGCTGGCTTGAGTTGTGGGGATCAAACCACAGCAACCTGAGCCTGACTGCTTTGTTGAAGCAGCCACTTAAAGAACTGAGCTAAGGGGCAGGTCCCCAATTCTTTTCTTTTGAACAGGTTCATTTCTTTTTCACAGTGCCTATTGTACCCTTCAGATTTTATTTATTCTTTGAGGTTTTTATGCTAAGGAGAGAATATGATGACAAACTCTTAAGATTTAGCCGCTTCAGGAAAGTCTTCCCCCCATGACAGCAGAAGGCTTTAAGGGGACATCCAGACACAAGTCATAACACTTAAAGTATTAAATAATAGAATCAGCAAAACAATACCCTTGTGACAAACCCTAGAAAGGGTATTTCAGAAGACTCATATGTTGATCTGGGAGAGACACATGTTGAGTCATACTGGCAGAAAAAGATGGTTAGAGAAAAGTAGAAGCTGGGTAGTTGCTTATACTGGGCTTGAACTTCCAGGCCTCCTATTTAGGCCTCCCGCTTAGCACACCAGGCCACAGATTTTTATTTTTGTCTTTTTTGAGACAGGGTTTCACTGTGCTCATCAGGCTGGTCTCTAATTTACTATGTAGTCCAGGTGGCTCTCAAACTCTAAATGATTCTTCTGCCTCAGCCTCCTGAATGCTGGGATCACAGGTGTGTATTACCATGTTTGGCACAGATTATTTTTAATAGAAACTATAAATGGTGTCCAATTTTTGTGTTGCTTTTGATAGGTTAGGCATGGAAGAACTGGAAACTCCTGGGGGGTCCAGCTCTGAGAGTTCAGATGATGATGGTGAAGAAGCACCTAGTACTTCAGGAATGAACTTCTCCACTCCAAAAAGCAGCAGGGATCATGTTGAGGTAGCAGCTGAATGCTCCAACAGTGCTCAACAGGCAAGAGAATTGACCATAGACTCTGAGTCATCAGAAAAACAGCAGGGCCCAGAAGATTCTTGTGTTGAACTGGTAGAGACGTCTGAGGAGAACAGGCAAGAAAAGATGGTTAGAGGAAAAGGGGAGATGCTGAAGAGAAAGAAGGCAGAGTATCAAGAACCCATAGAAAAGGTAGCAGCTGGGACTGGACTGAATAAGGATAAAGAGAGAAAAGAAGTGATTGATGGGGAAAGAACTGTCCAGATGGCTCCTGGAGAAGATAGGGAATACATCCCCCCTGCAAAAGTGGAAGAAATACCATCTGAAAACACAGTAAGTCTTACTGCTTTGGGTTGGTGTCTAAAGGAAAACCGATTTAACTGTTAATATCATTAAGTAGATATGTACTTTTTTTTTTTTTTCCCTGTCAGTTGTTTAGTGAATGGGTTATTTATTACTAAGAGGTACAAATGATGGTGAAATTTTTCTCCAAATAGATTGTAAGTTTTGGAATTTGTACTGATTTGCCAGTAGGTGGTGTATGAAGTGCCATATTTCATCAGTTCCAAGATGTATGCTTTTCACATTTTAGCATCTCTGAAATCAGATTCATAAATCACATACTATGCTTCTACTTCTTACCAATTATTCTTTTTTTTTTTTCAAAGTTTGATCAAAGGTAGGAAAGAAACAGGTTCTACAGAGCAGGTTTGGAGCAGATAAGAAGTACACCCGGGGGCCTGGCCCTAGCTCAGGCCTTTAAGTGGCTGCTTCCACAAAGCTGTCAGCCTCAGGTTGCTGGAGTTCGAACCTCACACCTCTCCCACTGGCCAAAAGTGCCCTGAAGGCATTTGAGGAACAAAAAAAAAAAAAAGAAGTACACCCTACAGCAAGAGGGCCACCATACAAGAGAGAACACAGTGGCCATTGCTGCTTGTTCTTAGTGCATGAGAGCATTTAGAAGGTGGCAATTTAGATTTGATGAAGTGTGCTTGTATTTCCTATCACTAAAATCCTGCTTTTCTCCCTCATGTGAGACAGTTTGAACAAAGATTGTCAACTAAATGAGATCTTTCCTATAGAGAAGGACCCATGCCTTTTTTATTTTTATATCCATACCTTTTAAAATTTATAGTATCTTAAGTCCTGCATTCAGTCTGTTATGGTTTATATCTACAGTGTTCCTCAAAGCCTCATGTGCTCATGGGTGGGGCTTTGAAAGGTGATTGGATCATAAGTGTGTGGTACTTATCAGTGGAGTAGTAGTCAGCTGAAGAGTTTATGCCTGTGATGTTGGGAGGAGGTGAGTTACTGGGGCTGTAGCCTGGCAGGGTGTCTCTCCTTCTTTTCTCCCTTCATACTGCTCTGCCTCCTGGAGCTACACTGCAAGTGGTGCCTCTTCTGCCATGCTGCCTGTCTTGGAGCGAACTGACTATGGACTGAAACCTCTATCAACTGAGAGCTAAAATAAACCTCTCCTGGGCTGGCGCGATAGCTCAGTGGACTAAGCACCTGCTGTGGCAAGTGCAGGGACTGGGATTTGATCCCTGGTCCTGCATGCCATGCCGGCCTGGCCCTGGGGCTCGCTGAGCGATCACCTGAGTCTAGGCGTGGTAGTGCCTGCAATCCCAGTTCTGGGGAGGCTAAAAACAGAATCACTACGAATGAGTCCAAGCTGCATAATGAGAGCCTGTACCAAATACATAAAATAAACCTCTGTAGGTGTCAGGTGTTTTGTTCCAGCAATGAGAAAGTAAGACAAATTTTGGTAGCTGAAAAGTGGGGCTACCTGGCCATATAGTTCCAAAGTGTTTGGAACTGCCTTATAGGAAAAGTTTAGAAAGGTTTGGAGATGCCAGCTGGAGAGGCAGCAGCCTTAGCCTGCTGCGAGCCCAGTGTGATGGGAGATTGTGGTTGGATGGAGCTCAGAGGATAGAATGCTGAGAGTAATGCTAGTAAAGACAAGGCTCAGGTTTTTGTTGGGAAAAAATGATACTATGGGATGGATTCCACAGATAGATTCCAGACTCCAGTGAATGATGAGCAGCAAATTGCAAATGCATATCTAAGGATAAAAGCAGCTGCATTTATTGAAGATCACAGGAAGAGGTACTTAGGGCAGTTCTGTGCTGATGAAAATAAGACATGAGTAGAAAAGTGGTACGGCCAAAAACAGGAGGGTCGTTATGAGTCCAATCTGTGTAGTGAAACCCTGTAGACTTTGTACTAAATACATAAAAAAGTGGTACAGGAATGATAGAAAAATAAAAAGCAGAGCACACAGATAAATCAGGCATTTGGATTTTAAAGGAAGTGCTCTCTAGTCTGGGTGTTTTTTATTGGGACTGTAGGTAAGATTGACAGGAATGATTGATAGTGCTGAGTGATCTCAGGGTCTTTCAATAAATGTGTGTGCCCCAATTCACTCGTGATTTAATTATGTGTACCACATGTCCATATTTATGAACCTTTGGTAAAGTTTGGGTAGAGGGAAGGGTTGTTGAAGGTCAGGCCAGGAGATCTAACATGAATGTTTCCTGGCCTAGAACTTTAATGATTTTCTAAGTTTTTGTTATTTTATTTTCTACCTGTCTTAGAATAGTGGAAGAGGGATTGATTCCCGGGGTGTGGCTTAAACTCAGGTGGGTGGAAAGGAATGGTCTCCTTATCCCCATTCTGCTAGCTTTACTAGAAGGACTCCATTGCCATTTGGACTTCAAGCCATGTGTGTTGTGGCCTGGCTGAAAATTTGTCTGCATTTTGTTCATGTCTAGAGACTTTGCAGGAAATTGAAATGAAGGACAGCAGACTAATCTGATAGAAGAAATTTCAAGGTAGTCTTATATTAAGAAGGTGGCATGGCTACTGTTGGAGGCTTTTAGTCAACTATACTTAGAGAATTGAGGGCAAACAGTCTAGCAGAATGATTTAAAAAGTTTGAGTTTGGCCAGAAAGGAAGCTCTGTTAAAGTTGGGTCCTGCAAAGATGGAGTGGAGGAGAACCTGGTTGCTGAAAAGATGAGCAGTAAATGGCTAAGTACTTAGAACAATAGAAAAGATGGCAAGAAAGCCTCACATCCCTTTGCAGGCACAAAATTATAAAAGTGAATTTGGTTTTGGGAAGAAAACCCCAAGACACCATGTTTCAGTGTTACTTCAGCCTAAAGAATGGGAATTGGTTTGCCTGGATTTAGTTCACTATGCTCAAGCATATAGGCACTGAAAGGCCTCTGCCACCACCAGCAAGATGCAAAAGCCCTCAACTGCTGGTCCAGTTGGCATCAGATCTGATAGTGCCATCCATGTGGTGCTGGTTTTACGTGAATGCAGAATGCTTTAAAATCAGAATGACATGGCCATGACTGATCCACATGGCTGACACTGACAAAGGTTCTACAAACTGAGGTACAGGATCTCAAGATAAATCCTGAGGGGATTTCACTGACCTTATCAGACCCAAAAGCTACAACTCTTGTTGCATAGGTCCTGCTTTACCTTGGTCTTTTTTTGTTTTGTTTTGTTTTTTTGTTTTTTTGTTTATCTTGGTCTTAACCATCCAGCAGAAAAGTATAAAAATGAAATATAAGAAGTAAAGCCATGCTGTTATATTGAGCTGTAGGGGACTCAGGTCAAAAATTTCTGACATTGCCAGTCAAGCAAAAGACTCAATACTATTATGGGCTACTGGACTCTTTTAGAATATTTTGCTGAGTTGACACACCTATAATATTCAAATAGCGGAACGTAACAACAAAAAGGGGATGCAGATGAATGTCCATTTTGTATCTGTGTATTCAAATGGCTAGGATCGATATACAGTTACATTCTCTTAATGAATAGAGGGATTTGTTCTAAAGGTGTTTGTAAGTAGGATATCACGTCTGCATCTTGTACAGCAATTAACCACTAGGAAGAATGTATACAATGTGTTAATTATTGAAACTGTCCTACCAGTTTGGTTTGAAAAAAATATAAATAAAATAAAATTGAAAAAAAAAATCAGAATGAATCCTTGTGTGGAGTCAAGGAAGCTTCTATCCACATTGCAGAAAGTCTGGCAGATCAGGCAGTGTGTCCCTGAGAGAGCGGAGTGTGAAGCTGTGAGTGTAAAAGTGCAGTGGAGACCCAGCATACTGGAAAAGCCAGGAAGGTGGAAGTGTCTGAGAAAAGCTGTAAGAAGTGTGCCGAACTGGCCAAAGAGAGAGGGTCCATGAGGGCTGCAACCATTAGTAGTGCCATAGAGCCAAAGCACCCAGACCCTTCTGAGTTCACATTTTGCTACTGATTGCTGGACATAGGGATTTAGTGTTTTGATGGGTTTTAGTTTGGGTTTGGTCCTGCTTCTTTATTTCCTCCTCTTCTACCTTTTGGAGTAGAAATGTTTTATCTTGTGCCATTGTACGTTGGAAATGTTTAGCTGTCTTTTTTTTTTTTTTTTTTTTGTTCCTCGAATGCCTTTAGGGCACTTTTTGCCAGCGGGAGAGGTGTGAGGTTTGAACTCCAGCAACCTGAGGCTGACAGCTTTGTGGAAGCAGCCACTTAAAGGCCTGAGCTAGGGCCAGGCCCCCTAGCTGTCTTTTCATTTTTATAGGGCCCTCACAGCTAAGAGTTTGCCTTAAATCTCAAGGAGGCTTTGGACTTAGATTCTCAACAATGCTAAAATCATTAGGACTTTGGCATCTCTTACAGATGGACTAAACACCTTTTCATAAAGTGTTGTGCATAAGTCTTTTGGGGGCAAGGAGTGGAATATTATGGTTTATATCTGAAATATCACTCAAAGCTTTATGCACTCATGGTTGAGGTTTTTGGGACTCTAGTCCCCTGATGAGTTTATAGTTAAAAATGATAATAGGAAGACGGTGGGTCACTGGGAGAAGGGGTCTGGTGTAGTGTATCTCACTACCTTCTCCCTTAATATCTATAAACTCTACAGGCTGAAAATTAAACCTCTCTTAATTTGTGGGTGTGAGGTATTTTATCTGAACAATAAGAAAGTAATGAAGAGAGTCTTTAAAAAGTAATTTTCATTGTACATACTTTTCTATAAACATGATTATTTATAGTCTTTAGTGTAATGACTTCTAGAAAAAATTTTCTCTGTGAGCTAATGACTTAGGATAGGTGAAACCTGAACTCTTTTTTTTTTTTTTTCCCCTTAAATACAAAGCCTGTCATTTGTAACCAGAGCTTTTCCTTGCCCCTAATAAATAAACTATGAATACCCACTGATTGCCTGTTCTGGAGAGGACATAGGCTTCTGTCATGCTGTTTTAGTTAACTTTCTTGTTGCAGAGACAAAATATTTGACACCCAGAGTTAAGGGAGGAAATG